ACAAACACCTTCTTTAATTCTGGAAATTAGCTGTAGAAAAGAGAGTGTTCTTTTTTTATTGAATAAACTGTGGCTTTTTAAAAAATTTATTAATGGATTATTTATCACTCATATTCATAGCTCAGGAACACAGGTCGGTGACACACATCTATGTAAACCAGCCCAAAGAAATTCTTTGCATTCCAAAATCACTTTATGCTCTGAAAGATGCCAGCCTTCCTCATCTCCTCAAAATCTTTCATAGAATCATAATTTCGGTAGAAATCTGTATATGCCTTCTTTCTTGGTTCAGCGACAGCAAACTTATAGAAAGCTTCAACCTCCAGGATTACGGCAAATGCTCCAACAATATGAATCCATAGGCACCTGGCCAGGAGGCCACGCATCTGAGGTTTGGCCAAAGCACTGGAAGCCATGGTAGTTACTGTCCTTGGTGGGTATGCCAATCTCAGCACATCCTTCCCTGCTGAGGTCCACACCAACTGCTAAACTGTGGCTTTTTACATGAGTTTCTGAAGTTCCCAAGGACTTTGCAAAGGCCTGACTGTGCGGTGCCGTGTGCCGCTTCCCAGCAGCTGTGTGTGCAGCTTCTTTGCTGTTGGTTGGAATTGTTGGAATTCCTCCTGGAGAGAGCCCTACCTTGGTCAGAGTGGGTAGTGTGGTGATCTCATGCGCATCAGCACCCCTGATGGTTCATACAATGAAATTTTTTTTTTAAGACAGTTTCCCTGTGTCACCGTCCGTAGAGTGCTGTGGTGTCACAGCTCACAGCAACCTCAAACTCCTGGGCTTAAGCAGTTCTCTTGCCTCAGACTCCAAGTAGGTGGGACTACAGGCGCCCACCACAACACCCAGCTATTTTTTTGTCACTGTTGTTTAGCTGGCCTGGGCCAGGTGTGTACCCGCCAACCTCAGTGTATGTGGCCAGCACCCTGTCCACTAAGCTATGGGTGCCGCCCAATAAAATGAATTATTAAATAGTATAATTTCAAAACATAGGCTCTTTAGGGCTGGGGCTTGGTGTGGTAGGAGGAGTGGCTGGGAGCCTTGGCCTCATCATCTCATCTAGAAAGTAAAACGGCCTTCCTGTGGCCAGCCTGTGCCTGCTTCCAGCTCTCTTGGTAGGCTGTTTTCTTTGAATCCCACTTTACTTCACACTTTTCCATCTCCATTCAGAAATATTTAAAGTTGTAACAGAATGGTACAAATTCAGACACTTCATTTATCACTTACCATAAGATTGTTCTTAGTGATACCTGCTGATAGAGCTGGATTTCTGAGAGAATTTCTGGTGATTGCTGTTCTTATGGCAGTGATCTCTTTGGTTGTCAGTATATAATTTATGAAAAATTAGTTCTTCCATTTTCTTTGTTATCTTTGGTATAAAGTTTAAACCTATAAGAAAGTTTATTTTCCCTTCTTATTTTGATACCACCCTTACCCTGCCCCTGACATACACTGGCTTGGAGACGTGTAGGAAATGGCTGTGAACCAGCCTCACCTCCTCCTGGTGGGAGTGGGGGCCCAGCAGGCACCTTGGGACCCTATCTCAATCCATTTGAATATGCATTAATTCAGCCTCAGCAAGCTGGAAGTGGAAGTAAATAGGCAAATTGAGAAAGAAAGTTTGGAAAGTGGAACATGCAAACTATTTAGAAAAGAGCAAAAAGACAAAATGCAGGTTCTAGTAATAACAGGGTGTGTTGTTGCGGGTGGTATGAGTCCAGGGCTTGCTTATGGGAGGGAGCCCTGGCACATGTTTGCTGGAAGAAGCGATGTTTAAATGTTTAAACAGCCCAGGCCCTAGGCCAAGTGGAAGAAGTTTCAAATGGGAAATGCAGGGATCCAGGGCCATGTGCAGCAAAGCCAGGTTTGCTGTTTAGCTGGAGCAGCCAGAGCTTTGTGCTGGCCATCTAGCCCTTTGCTCTGTTGGGGGTGGAGTCAGGGGTTTTGATCTCTCAGGTGAGGGGTGTAGCCTGGTTGGGGTGGAAAGTGGTTTCTCAGAGGTACCTCTGGTATCTTTACTCCTGGTGGAGATTTTTATCCCCAGATTGCTCTCTGTTTGATCCATACTTCCTGAAAGCTACTCGTGTCTATACGCTTTAAGGAAATAACTGACAGCTATGCAAATTATATAGACTTTTTTTTTGACTATAACAAATATTTTATTAGCTTTATCCTTCTTCCTAAAGCCTAAGTATTTCAAACAGACTATGGACAGATGTCTTTGCAAGTTGAACCTTCTAGAGAAAGCCCCTGTATTCATCAATAGCCTGGCTTCTAAATGGTTTGGGAGTTCCTTTCCAGCCTGGGTCTGGAAGGGGAGAAGCACTAGGAACCACCTAGGCAGTTAGGAACCACTGCCTTTTCTTTGGTGCCAAAGGCCTAGGAGGCTCACTGGGAGCTGTGACTGGGCCTCACAGCCTTTCTCCAGCCTCCCAGGGAAGACAGTAGGTCTTACTGGGAATATCTCCACCCTCCTAGCCCCCTATCCCTACTCCTGTGCAGGTGGCTAGATAAGGAGGGCAGCAAAGCCCAGGGCGTTGTTTCTCCCTTAGGAAAGTCTTTTTTTTCTTAAGATATTTTCAGCTGCTTGAGAACTTTTTACCAGGACCTTTTGTTCCCTTGCTTAATCTTGGTTACTTCATGACCTGAAGGGAGGCCTCTTCAGTGGTGAATCACAGCTCCTCCCCCTTCTCTGAGAAGCTGGGTAGTCACAACTGCCATGTACCAATGGAATGATAGACAGAAGTGCCTGGTGGTCCCTGGTGCGTTATAGGGCCCTGGACATAAAGTACATCTGAACGTTATTGCTGATTCTGACACATACTTGATTTTTTTTTTTTTAGAGACAGAGTTTCACTTTGTTGCCCTTGGTAGAGTGCTATGGTGTCACAGCTTACAGCAACCTCAAACTCTTGGGCTTAGGTGATTCTCTTGCCTCAGCCTGCCAAGGAGCCCACTACAATGCCCAGCTATTTTTTTGTTGCAGTTTGGCTGGGGCTGGGTTCAAATCCGCCACGCTCGGTATATGGGGCCAGGGCCCTACTCACTGAGCCACAGGCACCGCCCTGATTTTTTTTTTTTTCCTGAGAGTCTTACTTCATCACCCTCAGTAGAGTGCCGTAGCATCACAGCTCACAGGAACCTCAAACTCTTTGAGCTTAAGCAATTCTCTTGCCTCAGCCTCCCAAGTAGCTGGGACTACAGGCACTGTCCACAATGCCTGGCTATTTTTTGTTGAACTTGTTATTGTTGGTTAGCTGACCCGGGCCAGCATCAGACCTGCCAACTTTGGTGTATGTGACTGGTTCTGTGACCCCTGTGCTACGGGTGTGGAGCCTCTGACGCATATTTGGACTTTAGGTTAGGATATACTATTAAAAATCAGTGTTCCTTTTTCTTTTTGGAGAGAATGTTGCATCACAAATGAAAACCTAATTAAATCGAATGTGCAAGTCACTGTGAAAAAGTTTTTATCCTTGGTCCTTTAGTAGGCTTATAGAGCAGCGGTCCTCAGACTTTTTAAACAGGGGACCAGTTCACTGTCCCTCAGACTGTTGGAGGGCTGGACTGCGGGCCCTGGGACAAGTCGGCTGCTAAGCAGGACAGGCAGCGCTGGCACAAACACCCAGTGGGCCGGATAAATGTCCTCGGCGGGCCGCAGTTTGAGGACGCCTGTTGTAGAGCATTTCTGAGAGTTGGCCAGACCAGTGGAGTAGCCGAATGTGGCTCCTTCAGCTGAAGCCCAGTTCTTTGGTTTGAGGGTGGAGAGAAATCCTCTGTGGCTGGAGCAGATACAAGAAGTGCACAAGCTCCAAGTGCTTCTGCTGTTTTCTCACTCAGTACTGGCAGCAGGAATCAGCACAGAAAGCTGTTCTTCCCCATGGCCAAGCCGTCAGGTCAGCTCTGAGGCTGTCTACCTAGAGATTGCGTCACATCCCACATGTGGAAGGGACAGTCCTTCCAGACAGCCCCTGCCTACCTCTCACAGGTCCAGGCCTCTGGAACATCTGACTGACCAGCTTCATAGGGTTCCCATGACCCCCTCCTTGGGTTTAATTTGCTAGAGTGACTCACAGACCTGAGGAGACACTTAGGTTGACTAGTTTATAGTTTATTATAATATAAACAATGTTACAAAGGATGCAAATGAGGAGACGTGTAGGGTGATGTGCAGGCGAAGGTGCGGGGCCTTGCCAAACCTCCTTGTGTTCAGCCGTCTGGAATCACCCAGATCCCTGTCCTTCAGGGTTTTTTGGAGTCTTCATTCCATAGGCAAGACTGATTAAACCACTGGCCATTGATAATCAGCTTGGCTGCAGCGACCCTCACCTCTTTAGGGCTGGGGCTGAGAGTCCCAGTCCTCCAATCCTGCCCTAGTCTCTCTGGTGACCATCCTGCAGCTTCCTAGGGACTGCCAGCCACTTGCCAATCATTAGCACCCAAAAAGACCTTTTGGGGATTTCAAGGATTTTAGGGGTTATGTTCCGTGGAGATGAAGGCCTAACATATATTTCACAACATCATACCTTTCCTGTCTGTGTGATTGTCTGTGATGAGTGATTATTCTACTTCCTCTGGCTTTTCCCTTCTCCGGACACCTTTCCTTTCCTTATTTTTTTTTGATGTACCCATTGTCTGCTGAGGTTTAAAGGAGAAAGAGCACAGGGGAGGAGGGCAGGACAGTTTGTCCTGGCTGAGCAGCTTTGGTCAGCTGACCTCATGCCTCCAGGCTTGTCATCTGTGCCCTGGGGAGAGTGATCCTTATCAGGTAGAACAATCCTGCAGGGGGCCCAAAGGAGTGAGCAGGCAGCTATAAAGGTGGGTAAGAGCCCTTGATTCCTGTCGAGGCCCTAGCAGGGCTGCTGAATTTGAGGCAGTCCTTCTGGGCTTCTGGGCCTACGTTTTCTCATTTTATAGAAGAGGAACCTCCATCCCCTGCAGGATTGTGGGACAGGGACACCATTTTTAATCTGTAACATCCATTTATTCAACAGTGTTTATTTCCAAGCGGGGCTCAATGCTAGGTGCTACTGCTCACTGGTGATGAGACAGATGGAGGTCACCAACCTTGTGGACCAGAGCCCAGTGTCACAGACGTGGACCTCACTCTAGCCTGGTGAGTGCAGCTTATCTGGAGGTAAAGAAGGAATAGGTAATGTATTTGGAGCCAGTTAATGTGTGGCCCTGGGGCTCAGTTTTCTGCTCCATGAAATGAGGGAGTTGGGTTGTAACCCATGTAGTTTTAAGGATGTATGAGCTTTGACTAGATGCTAGAGGCTTCTGAAAACTGCTAATGGAAAAGAAATCCAAACTCTATAAAATAATAATTATTATATATATTTTTTGAGACTGTGTTGCCCTCTGTAGAGTGCTGTGACATCACAGCTCATAGCAACCTTGAACTATTGGGCTTAAGCAGTTCTCTTGCCTCAGCTTCCCAAGTGGCTGGGACCATAGGCACC